TCTCTCTCTCTCTCTCTCTCTCTCTCTCTCTCTCTCTCTCTCTCTCTCTCTCTCACCTACCCACCCACTCACTCACTCATTCATTCACTCACTCACTCACTTTTCCACCCACACACCCTCTCACTTACTTACTTACTCACTCACTCACTCACCCACCCACCCATCCACTCACTCATTCTCTTACCCACCCACTCACTCATTCACTCACTCACCTATTCACCCACCCACTCACTCACTCACTCACTCATTCATTCACTCACCTATTCACCCACCCACCCTCTCACTTGCTTACTCACTCACTCACTCACCCGCCCACCCACCCACTCACTCACTCACTCACTCACTCACTCCCTCAAACACCCACCCACCCACCCATCCACCCACCCCCTCACCCACCCCCTCACCCAGCCCTCACCTCTGACTTCAGCAGTGTACTTGGTGATGAGCGCCGTCACGCATCCGAACAGAATGCCGATGATCGCTCCCGCAAACACCACGATGAAGAAGGAGGCGACGGCGAGGGCATATTGACCTGCCGAGATGACCTCCATGGTGACGAACGAGGTCAAGGTGGTGTACACGACGATGGTGACGCCGTCTGGTGGTCAGGGTTTGAAGAGGGAGGTGATGAAGTATGATGTTTTCGTTTGCCGATTTGTGAACGATTTGAAATAAAAGGGAAAATCGTTTTCTTTTTTTTTTTTGGGGGGGGGGAAGGTTGGAAGAAAGTAGTGGTTTCCGTTTCTTTTTTTACACTCGTGATTCCTTTTTTAAACTTCTGACATATTTATATTTTTTCTGACAATATATTTTTCAAGTTGAGAAAAAAAAACTGTAAAAAACTGACGAATTCCTTGCAAAGTGGCCTATATTTTCCCAAAAAGACTTAGCATCCCAGAATTAACCCAACAGTTTGGAACCTGCGATAACTAAAATTTAAATTTGAAATTAAAATGATCCTTTAGACTTTTTGTACCTTGAGTAAAAACAAAATAAGATGACTTAATTCACTAATATTCTTAAAAATTAGGAAACAAATTAAATCAGAATATAGAATAACTATTAATATGTTAAACTTGAATATAAACTACACTTTAATATGAATATTTAATATTTTTATGAAAAATATAATACAATTAATCACAGAGGAAAATCACATGATAATTATCTCACTTGGAAAAAGGTAATATATTTTCTGTATTTTATTCCTTGTTGGCCTTTACATAAACTGAAAGTCAAGTGATAATGGATTAGTTAATAATCTTTAAAATAAATGTAAAATGTTAGTAAGAGTATGCCAATCATCACTGAATAATAACAATGAAAATCAATAAATTGATGTTAATAGCAGTAGTAGAAGTAGACGTAGTGGTAGTATTAGTAGTAGCAGTAATAGTAGTAGTAGTAGTTGTTTTTGCTGTTGTTGTTCTTGCTGTTGTCCTTATTGTTCTTGTTATTGTTGTTGTGGTTGTAGCAACAATAGCAGTAGTATTAGTAGTAATAGCAGTGATAGAATCAGTAATAAAAATAGAATAACATGATAACAACAATGCTAAAACGTAAAATACAAGCCGAGAGAGAGAAAAAAAACCCTAAAACCACAAACCAAACAATAATAAAAAAATCCAGAACAACCTCCTCACACCCAATGACCCTCAATCTTCAGACACCCACCATTGAGAAGAGATTCCCCAAAGACAAGGAAATAGAGATCCTTGTTAACGCCAAGCTCCTGGAAAATGGCCAACACTGCCACGGGGTCCACGGCCGAGATGAGGGAGGAAAATACTAAGGTCTCTGTGAAGCTGGAAAAAAAAAGAGATTGTTTTTAGTGAGATTCGTATAGTGGTTGGTTCTTAATGGGTCTTTTGTGGATTGTAAGTGGAAGTGTGATGGTGTGTTTATATAGTTCATGGAGGAATTTTATGGTCTTATATTTTGAGGTATATATAGCTGTAGAAGAAGATACAGATAGGTGTCTTTATTCTCATGTAAAGAAGTCTTTTAAAATATACAAAAATATACGGTAACATCGTACAGTTGTGTATGAAATCCTGTGTATCTGCTGGTATTATACACACTGTTCAATTTGTAAACTTTTTTCAATAAAATGGGGACTGACCCCCAAATGGTCAACTACAGTCCAACATCTTACTGTGCCAGCGGAAGTGATCTTTATAAAACTGAACATGACTGTAGATACATCCATAAATGCTTATTGTGTACTCACCCAATAGCAATGGCGCCCATTAGGCCTCCTTGTGCAACGCCATACAGAGCTGGACCTGAAAATATGTGCAGCATGGTTAACAAGACCGAGAGAAAAAAACATTCCTTGACATTATTAATATACAAACACTTCGATGCCGCTGGAAAAGAGCCTGGCAACATGAGACATGGCGCCAAGGACTTCGTCAAACACGTCATCGGCCATGGCACAGAAAGAAGTCAGTGTGGGGGTGTATGCTGTACACACACACACACACACACACACACACACACACACACACACACACACACACACACACACACACACATACACACACAGTAATATACACTGCATATACGTATTAGCATCAAAGTAATATCTTACTATATACTATATAAACATCAAACTATAATATACACTATAAAATATACACACCTATGGTGAAGATATTGAACAGCGTTCCCTGAAAAGAAACAGACAGTCATTATAAGCAAATAATTTATTGTAGCTACCTGCAAGTAACAAGAACTACACTCAAGTGATTTCGTTATTTTGTACGTTAACCATAACTGTTCTAATCAATCTAATGGAATTGTGGCGCAAAGTTTATATTCGCCGTGCCCTTCCTTTGTCTATTCAAAAAGTTCATCAAATATAAATAAATAAATAATGCTTTGAAAAAATAAAAGAGAAACTAACTGCTTTTTGACTAAATCTTCCATCAAAAATGACATGATAGGATGAAGACTCATTCCAAATTCCTCAATTACATCCCTTATTCATCCTCACCTACACATATCTTTCTGCATTTGTCACAACGAACTAAATTCACAAACAATCCCATATTTCCAGCTTCTCTTGGAAAAATAAATATATATTCATACTTACAATCACGGCAAACACGAGGACTGTGCCTAAGTTGTCAAAGAAGGCACGATCATGGAGGGAGTAGGCAGACTCTAAGATGATGCTAGTAACAAAAGAGGGTATTATAAGAAAAGTAAATTATGCAGTTGGATTTGTCTATATGCGATTCATGCGGGGTACAAATGAAAGGGGATATCATTAGCCAGGTATATTATGCAGGTGGATTATTATCATGTTTATATACATGTACTATGCAGGCATTGTATGAACAAATCAAGAGGATATTCTTAGGTAAATGAACTTTATTGTTTTTCATCCAAAAAGATCCATGCGTAATCAAAAGTCAAAGTTGGTCCCATGTCCATGTGAACGTAGGGGACATGTTCGCAGAGAAACATGCTTACTAGGCCGCGGGATGATGCGGTAGGGTGGCCAGTTCCTTTCCGCCCCGACCTTGACCCCAATATGCTGACGTCAGCATATCAGTACTCATTCACAGCTGAGTCGACTGAGAAGGGCGGCGGTCGGGCGCGAACCCAGGACCTTGCCAGCGCTCTAACACTGAGCTATGCCACCCATAACATATTATGCCATGCGTAATATGTTATATAAAAACATTATGTAACTGGATTTTATTTGGTTTTATTTCGTCTCATGCACTTGTTTTCCTTAGGGGGGTTACAATCTACAGTTTTCTGAATTATATATTCACTGGCAACGAACTGGGACACGAGTCTATCAATTCTATAGTCATGCTAGTCTGGCCTTCACAGTAGTATGTGCAAAGGGGAGGAAACTTATTTTTTACAATTTACAGAAATAATTTGTAAAATACCACATCACATAAACACTACATCTGGCTTTTAGATTAAAAAAAGTGCAGGGGTCCAACCTAACATCAAACCATTTCACAAAATTACACTTAGGAAAAAAACAAAAACATCTTGAAATAAAGGAACAAACTAAACATTCTTATTCTACACCGCAAACACCATACTTACGGAGGAAGCAGAACGAAGAAGAACTTGTCTGACGTAAAGTGAGGAACCTCGAAGTTGTAGCTACAGGATGAGGTTCCGTTGCCGTCACTGCGATACAGGAAAGGGTCAGTGTGTGAATTTCCTAAATGCTTATTATAGGTTAAGTTTGTTATAAGTTGTAATCACTGCTCTTGGGCAATATTTTCCATGAATCGCACTTCGGCACAAGCAATATTTATGTAAGAGAGGCAAGAATAGAAAAAAGTAAATATGTATACATTTTGAAACAACAAACGTGTAGACATTGTACCTGTGCTTACCTCGTACTGAATTACTAGTATGACAGTTAGTAATACGACTCTAAAACTAATATATGTGGTATTGTAAAATGGTTAAACTTGTGATAATACAATATAAAAAGGTCTTGCTTCTTCAGATATTCTTAACTATTTGTTTTATCAACTTGTCTATTCAATCACATCCAATAACGGATCTCTTACTCTACGGCGTAACTGATATGCATATCGATTTGGACAACGCAACACTGAGAATACAAAAGCAGTCAGTCTTGAATTCGTGATACTCACAAGAAACATAGAAAATATTTAAGCTGACGAAGATATGTGCGATAATGCTTTGTTGTCCTTAAAACAACTTTTAGAACTCAACATTAAACGACATAGAACTGATCCTCAGCGCCTGGATATTCTGGTTAATATATACGATGGAAGCCGATATAGTAAGATTGAAAATAATGGTGAGAGTGTCATTCAAGTGATTTTCATTGAAAATATATTGTTAGTTATTCTAATATTAACCATAACTTCTCTAATCAGTTTTACGACAATCTGACAGGATCTCAGTTTATAACACTCTCTGGATGTCGATGACTCATCATTCGGAATACAGAAAAAAACTATTATATTGTACATTAGTACATGGATATGAATAGTCACAGTATTAATAAATATTTCAACTTCTAACACAGAAAAACATCATTCACAAAAGTCATGCCTTAAGCCACATATATACCTGCAGTGTGCAGCAGGAGCACAAATCCATAACTGTGTGATTGCATTAACAAATATCCATTCATATATCAGAGGAGAATACAAGCAAATGGTATGCAAACACCGTATGATACAAGAGATGCAATAAGTTGCACAAAGGCTAGATGCACAAAACGGGTGAAGATTTTGAGAGTGAAAGCCTTTTCGTGGATTCCAAAATGCAAGTGTAGGTTCTTGTGGATTACAAAACTGGAACTAGAGTGTGGATATTGTGAACATAAACAAGGTGTGCTGAGTTCATTTTGGCAGTCAGAAAATATGTCATATTCGCATTAAAAGGTTTATGTTGCCTGTGTTTGTGGTCTTTACGTATATATAGTTGTTTAACATCTTTACTAACTGATCTATCCTATATAGCACAGGATCCTGATTTTCTCTCAGTCTTAATCACTATAAGGAAATATCCCTTTATATAATGTAAAACTATCTATCTCCAAAACTTGCCATTAATATATATTATGTACTGTGGTTTCTGGGGATTCTGTGTGGGTTTTCAACACCGTTTGGGTCACAGACTTTAGAAAACATGGACATATATGGATTATTCAAATGCACTGATCTACTGTGTAACTGAGTGGCTGTATGACCGACAGTGGGTATGTTTCTTTCGTCACCTGAAATGATCAAGGCTGCGAATTCCCTCTCCAAATAATATTAAAGCCTTAGTTAAATTCCCCGTGATCAAAGGTGAGCTCTAGAACAAAGACTTTCCCAGGCCATGAATCACGTTTAGACACGGTAGTGTAACATGCAGTTAAACCTAGCATTTCCCTCGACAAGGAAACCTTTATTTTGTGTTGACCACGTGACTGCTACAGTGCGAGCTGGGAAGGCACCGAGTGGCCTGTATCAAAGACTATGAACGCATGTAGTCTTTGCCTGTATGCTCAAGCCTGTATGCGTCACGGCAGGCCAAAAGAATAAAGTAAGCCTTTTGGTGCACAAGAAACCTGGAGGAACGCCCCACCTTTCTACTTCATTCGCTGGTGAGTAATACATCAGACAGCCAGGCCTGGGAGTAATAGCACATTGTTTTTATCTTATTTGCAGTAATCTAAACTCTCCTAGAAAAAATACACATATGGTAATTAAAGGACAGGCATTAGAAAGTAATAGGTAGTCAGCTCTTTGCCAAACCGATCATGACTATCAACGTTTCATTGATTTTTTTTATCTGGATATTTACGCAATCCTTCCTTCCCCACCAAAATAAAGCAAATACTGTCACTAACTACAGCAAAAGCCCTAAGAATTGAAAAAAAATATATATATCCCCCCTTAAAAAAAAGAAAAAAAAAGAGAAAAATACTAAGCTTATACTTAGCACGAGACAAAAATATAACAAAAACGTTAAAAAAAATAATAATAATTATCAGCATGTTGTCCTAAGTATACATGCCAATAGCACAATGCAGAAGGAGAGGTTAAGGTACTAACTCGACGGTGAAGAAGACGACGATGCCCAGTAAGACGCCCAAGATGATCAGGACACAGGACTCTGGGATCTTGTTGGACAGCCAGTGGATCTGATGGAATGCTGTAACAGAACGACAATGGGTAATATTCCTGCAACGGGATGGAAATACAGCAGGGGGATATTGTGTAATATTCCTGCAACGGGATGGAAATACAGCAGGGGGATATTGTGTAATGTTCCTGCAATGGGATAGAAATTCAGCTGGATAAGAAAATGTATAATAGCCAGTGGATCTAATAGCTTCCCGCAACGAAAAAAAAAATATACAGTAGATCCAGTGGCAGTATACCAGCCACTGGCTCTGATTTAATCCTAAAACAAAATAAAAAGATAGTGAAATGTTGGAATCCTTTAACAGAGTAGAAATGGATGATGATGGTTCAGGTTTTAAGTTTTACTAATTCCTTCGCTAGGACTAGAACGGTGCATTCTTTCAGACACTGGAATGCTAGAGGAGTCAGAATAGAAACACATTAGGATACATATATATATAGTAGCTAGTGGATATTCGGTAACAGAATGAATATAACATAGAATGGATTCATATAACCCCTACTGAAACTTGTAACAGTATGGAAGTACAGTCAGAAAAAAAAAACTATCGTTGTCAGAAAAAAAACTATCGTTATCTTTACTTGTGATCAATGAGGAGCTAAACGATTCTCTCTGTTAACGCCGGATTATCTGAAAGCTACTTTGCCTTGTTACTCCACACCAAATGGTCGATTTTTGTGTTGTGCAAAGGGTACTTCATTTATTTTTTGACTGACTGTAATCCTGTCAAAACAGGAGTGCACTGAAGATAAATTTGCATATTAGTCAGGGGATCCTACATAAGATTAAGTTTGCATTTGATAGCAAAGGGGTATGGGCTTATTTACCATATATAGGTTGGAA